TTATATATGTATTTAGTTTCAAGAATCTTAATAAAGTACTAGCATAACTGCTTAAGCCAAAAAAAAAAAAAAAAAAAAAATTTAAATTTTTTAAATAATATTAATTTATTAAGTGTACAAAATTTACATGTTATCAATAATCTAAATTTAAAATTTTTAAAGTTTATAAACCTATTACAGTAAACTTTTACTGTAACTAGATTTATAAATAAATATTCCTTTAATTATGAACCAAATTAATATAAATAATAATTAAAATGAAGTTATAAAAGATTGTGAAGTTCTAAAAATATATTTGTAAGTTAAATGATAAAAAGAACCAGTACCAAATACAAATTATCTTTATTAAAATAACTTCTGATATAATATATAAAATATTACTTTAAGGTGTAACTGTAGATCATTAATGTATTTAGATAGATTGTTATAAAATGCAACTTTATTTCTTATAATAATTGGTGAATTCTCCTAGTTTTGAAAAGTGCACTAACCATTTATATAACTTTAATTAGATCTTTGTAAAGTATTTTTGTACTGCATTTATTACATATTTGCAATATACATACTGCAATATACAAATTTTCAATATACTACTATTGCATAGTCATATTAGTTTTACTTTAGAAAAAACCTTTTTAGTAAGTATTTTGTTTATATTCTACTATTTTTTGAACTGTTGTGATATTGTTTTATATATTAGTTTTCAAATATTTAAATTTTTTTTTTTATTAAATCAAATTTTTTGCTAGACAAATAAATTGATAATTATTGATTATCAAAAACTATAGCAAAAGAGATTTCAAAAATAATGTAATCTTTAACATTAACTTTTTTTTGTATAACTTTATAACAGTTTAGTTATATTTTGATAATAATTAAATCTATATTATATTTTAATAACCATTATAACATTTAAGTAACAAAAAAAACCTTATAAATAATTTTATTTAATAAGTAAAATAATTTATAAGTTTTCTTTTTTTGTCACTTATTTTATATATTTAGGTTATTATTACATTTAATATGATAACTAGTTAAAGTCTAATAATTAGTATAAAAGAACAGATTTTTTCTTATACTAGTTAGGCTTTTTAGAATTTTTCTCTAACTTTTGTCTATTGAAATAAAGTATAAGTTTTGTATTTAATATTTGCAATACTAAATTAAACTTAGTTAGAAATAAAAGAATTTGTAAAAAAAATTATTTATTAATTTATGATTACTAACTTAGTTATCATTAATGTTTAAAACTCTTAAAAAGAATAAATTGCTAATAAAACTTTAAAAACAGTTAGTTTTTTTTATATATTATTATTATTATAAAAACAAGTTTTAACTTGAAAAAGATAAAACCAGTTTTGATTTTTATTACAAATAGGCAACTATAAAAATATATATAATTTTACAAATTTGGACAAATTAAAATTTATTATATGCATATATAAATAAAATAACAAATTGAGATATCTTTAAACTACATATTTGTTATTTTTTATATAACTTAAGAGTTAAAATTTTACAATTATTATAAAACACACTTATGGTGATTTTCACCTATTGGTGTAACTATATATAAATAATTGAAACTGACGTATAACATGTATGACACATACAACTTTTACTTTATATCTATATGTGTACAACTCATTAAATTTTATCTTAACTTAACTTAACTTTAAATTATCTTATTGTACATAACTGTCTAACTGCATTACTTATATACTTAATTATTTACACAGCATTATATAGCTTTTGAAATGGCAAGTGATGACAAATTTAACGAAGCTGATCTGTGTTTTATTAGCAATGTTGAGACAAATATATTTGACGAAATTCTGGATTCTTATGGGCAACTTCGATCTGAGGAAAGTAATAGCTTAGTAGAATCTGAGGCTGAAACTGATTTGACTGATTCAGAGGAGGGATTATATTCCTTAACTAAAGGGCAAAGTTTTACTGATTAGAAAAATGTTGAAAAGTAAGTTGAATATTTTATTTTAATTTTGTTTTTTTTATGCATGTATAGTACAGGTATTAATTAATGAAAGTTGGCTTGACAAACATGGTCGTGAATGAGGCTTTGCTTTTTCTTTAGTAAAAAGTGAATTAGACAAGAATAACGGAATATCTAGACATTGGGTTTACTATTGTTCCAAAGGGCATCGTTATGAAGCAAAAAAAAAGGCACATACGTTAGAGGAACGAAATAAAGCACATGAGAATAGTGGTTGTGAATATCATCTTAATTTTCAAAGATGAAAAGTGATAATCAAGTACATATTTTGGGTATAATTGGTGAGCATTCATATCCAATGAGCAATAACATTCAAATGGCTGCACCTCAATATCATCATTTTACATTTGAAATGTGTGATGATATCGAACTTCTTGCTGCTAGTAGTGTACATACAGGGGCTATTATTAATGTGTTGACACACAAATATCCAGATCAATATATCCATGCACGTAGTGTTTACAATATTATTTAAGTGGTAAAAGCAGAGAAAGGAGAATTAAGTGATGCAGGTGCTACCTATAAAGAGCTAATGCGTCAAAAACAGGAGATGCCCAGTTGGTACGTTGATGCAAAATTCGAGCGAAGCAATAATCATCTTGTAGGGCTTTTGTGGTTGCACCCCAAACAAATCGATATTTGGTGTCATTTCATGATGTCATTTTACTTGACACGACCTGTAAAACAAATAGATTCAATATGATCATGTGTGTGGTGGTTTGTATAGATAACTACAATAGATCACAACTTGTTGCTACAGCCTTAATTATAGATGAGCAAAAAATAACATTTGAATGGATTTTACAAGAGCTACTTAATGCAACAGGTTGTTGACTTTTTATTGTTTTATTTAGTATGTTTGTTGTAGTTAATTTGTAGTATATACTAGTTAATTTTTATTTTTTTTTATAAAGGAGGGTTAAAACCTAAAATTGTTTATATAGATGCGAATCTAGCAATTACTGGCGCAATTGAAAACGTATGGCACAGCACAAAGCACCATTTCTGTTTGTTTCACATACAGAAAAATCTTGAAAAACATTTTTTCTCTAAGTTTGGTAGAGAAAAGTTTAGAGATTTCTTTTCAAGTTTTTGTCAGGCACGCAATAGCATCACTGAAACTGTTTATGAGAGAAAGTGGCAACAGGTCTTGGATTTATTTCCTGAGGCACAATTTTATCTAAGGTGTCAGCTTTATCCTCATCGTGAAGCATGGGTTCTTGCTTTCACACATCAGTCTTTTAATTATGGTATTTAATCAACTCAAAGAGTCGAAGTGTACAACACGATTTTGAAGAAATCACTTAATAGAACAACCTCATTAATAGAAGTAGTAAGCATAATCGAACAGCATTTAATGAGGGAGTCACAGTTTGTGAGATTCAATGAGATCAATGGAGAGCTACCACGCATTATGCATGCAACTTATCGAGATCACTATTTTATGGCGATTGATAAGGCTTGCACTAAATTTCTTATACCAGCAATACAAAAGTTGTAGCAGAATCAAATAGATCAATGCCCCTACTATCGAGCCTATCATACAGATTTGGAGTTTGAGTTACAACAACAAGCTCATGTTAAAAATATTGATAAACCGGTATATTAAAAGTAGTTATGAGCTTGGTTGTTGTCTTTAAATCGTCTTTTAATGGATCAAACTACAAGTTAAAAATTTGATAAAATTAACAAATGGGTTTGACCTATTTGTTAATTTTATCAAATTTGTAACTTGTAGTTTGACCCATTAGTGTGTTAGTTGAGTTATTTAATATTTTTTATTTTGTTTAAGATATATCTAAAGGCATGTTTAGCGAAGATTTGTATGATAAAACGCTCATTGAATTAACGGAAGTTGTTGATGGTATTGGTGATATCAAAGAGCTTTGGATAGTATCATGTATTGACCAACAAAAGCACCATTTCATTGTTCTCTTTGGAAATGCAAGTCACTTGTGTACATGTTTAACACTCGTGAATTGTGGCATTATATGTCATCATTTTTTTGCCATTTTATTGGAAAGCGAAATAGCACAATTTCATATTGGAATTCTAGCAAAATGTTGGTTTAATAATCGAGTCATGCTAAAAAATGATGATTATAGTAATAAACGTGCAATTTCAATTCGAAGTGGAAGAAAATTTGGTGCATTTGAGAATGATGTCCAAGTTGACTTTTCTTTAATCGATTTGATTCGTGGCCAATGTGTTTTTACATCCAAGATACAACATCATATAAGAAGTCTTACTCTCTATGGGAAAGGTTTTGGTCTTATGAAAAAAACCTTGAATTTAGCAATCCAAACTGGATGTACTGAAGAGCTTTATGAATTACATCAGCAGTTCATCAATAAGATGGAAAAACAACTAGCAAAGCAGGAAGGATGTGTTCTGCAGTCGGATGATGAGTATAATTATGAAACAATCAATAATCCACTAAAACTATGAACAAAGGGACAGAAGCATCAAAAATGTATAGCAGCATTCAATAATAGTGCATGAAAAAATGTGTTAAAAGAAACAACTAATGTGTTGCAGAATGATGATTTAGTGAGGATGGCTAGTTCCAACATTAGTAATGAATCAATTAATGTTGACAGTACTGAAGGTACTGAAGAACAAGACCAAATGATGCATGAACACATTCAAGATGTTCAAGGTCATGATCAAGGTAAATACATATATATTTATTGATTTTTTATTAAACATACTATAAATTAGACTAATAATATTAGGAACGAAAGTTGATATGATTAATGAGGATATGGAGCAATCAATTCAAGGTACTATATTAGTAGTTTAAATATTCTTTATATACTTCAATTAATATATAAAAACACATCTTTAGGCAAGAAAAAACACACTTATACATGTGAAACTTGTAGTAAAGATGGTTATCATAGATCTCGTTGCCCTAATCGTATAATATGATATCTTTATTTGTGCATGTTTCATCCAACATTTGCGTATATTAGCATTTGCATGTATCTTTGTGTATACTGGCATTTGTGTTTACTGATGTTTATATATATTAATGATTGCAATTTATTATATGCTTTGTGATACTATTATGTGTTTGCTACTAGAGCTCTGTAAGTGTTTGGCAGGATTATTATAACATAATGCACTGTATACTGTGTTATAATAGTCCTATCAAAGACTTACAGAGCCTCAATGACTGTAAGTTTCATTGTTCATATTTATGGATGTAAGTAAGATAGTAGAATATAAGTGATGGTGAAATGTATAACTCTATGAAACTCCTGTGTTTGCTTATTTATGTCTGCTTGTATCTTGTAAAAAAAATAAAATTAATAAAAAAAAATTAATGTGGTAATGAAATTTTTAATGCTACACTTCAAATTAATATACGAACATTCTAGAAATATTAAACAAGGTATATTATATATGTTTGATTTCTGGTGCATATTTTTTAAGAGTTAGGATTAGAGTAAGCATTGATATAGTTTTTTTTCATATTAAGTTTAGGGCAGGCTATAGAAAAAAATCTTTTTTTTTTGCAGATTGTGTGTTTAATCTTTCTGCATATATAGATAGGTAAGAAATAAATACATATAACATATGCACATTTAATTTAGTAATTCGCTGCATAATATCATTAGTATTGTATATAGTTTCCGAGTACCATTCATAAATTTAGTGATTTCATTGGCAAATAAGGCAATATTTTATGTAGGGTATTATTTTAAATAATAACTACGTATACTTGTAACATATACACGTGCGAATTTAGATAAATATATGCATAATGCATTAACTGTTAAGTGAAATTATGTTGTATTGATATATATAAATTACTGTATAAATAATAACAATAAGTGATTATTACACCATAGGTGAAATCCACCTATGATGATTTTCACCATAGGTGAAATCCACCTATAGTGATTTTACACTATAAGTGGATTTCACTTATAGTGAAAATCACCATAGGTGCATTTTAGTAAAAGTCTTAAATTTTAATCAAATTTACCAAGTCAACTTAAAATTTTATTAGTAAAAAATAAAATATAATAAAATAAACTAAAACTTTATAATAACAAGATAAAATAAATAAAAGACATTGCAAAAATAAAATAAAAAATAAATTGTTTATATTATAAATATATAATTTAATCTAAATATTAAAATATATTTAATTCTTACTATTATCTTTTTTACTATTATCATTATTATTTATGAGATATATATTATGTTTAGTACTATATATTTTTTTGTATTATGTATATTTTGTTTCTTATTTTAATTTTCTTTTTACAGTTATAAACTCTTTTGTAGAACTATGCTTTATTATTTTTTTATTATTATTACTTACTATTATTAACTTTTTAGTTTTTTCATCTTAATAAGATTTATTTGACAAACTTTAATCTGCTTGTAACTTATTTTTTAAGACTAATATTTGTAAATTCTAATTTATCAATTTCTAAAAAATTTTTAGCAATTTCACTTACTTTTTTATTTTAATACATTTTGGTGATTTATAATTAGCCTCTAAGATGTTTGATTGGCTTAAACTAATATTATCCAAAATTGTTAAATTTATTGTTTCTAAAGCTCTTTCAGATTCTTCAGTTATATTATAATGCATAGCCAAAAGCTTAAAGCAAGTTAACTTGAATAATATTATAGATAATTATGAATAGTTAAATTTTATATTTATCTTTTATTTACTAAATGTGTATAAATATAATTGATGTTTCTTGCATAAATATATAATTTATCTTAAATAATTTCCATTTTACCAATAAAAATAACATTAATTTTTTTAGTCAAATAGAATTTCTAAAATGTCTAAATAGTAAGCTAAGATATATATAAGTAATATAAACTATAAAATTATATTTTTGATTTACATAATCATTAACTAAAGTTTTAATAATAGCATTTTTATAATTTTTAACTTATTGAAGTTCATCTTGTGCTACTTTAACTAAAGATATTTTTAATAAACAATTATGAAATTAGGTTTTTTATTAATATTAATATATTTTGAAGTTGCAACTGTTATCTAATAAATAAAATTAAATAAGCACAATTGCATAATTTAACAAACAATAATGCAAGACCTCACTTTAATATCAAAAAAAAACATTAACAAACTTTTGAATAATATCTTTAGCCTTTTAATATTACAATAATTTTCAGATACAAACTTTCTAGAAATAGTATAATATTTGTTTTTTTCAAATATTAATTGGTTATTAAGATTTTTATTATTTAAGTTAATATAACTAATTTAATATCATTATCTTCTTGTCTGACAAGATAAGTACCAATAGTTCATATAATAATACAGTTAATACTTTTTTTATAAACTATTAAATTAGGAATTTTTACAATAATATTTCTGTAATATGGCATCTTTGTAATAACAAAAAAATAAATACTAATAAACTTAAATTTTACAAAAAATTTATTAACATTCTTTACTTTTTTTTAAATATATATTAACATTAACTAACTTATTAACCAAATTAATAATATTGATTAAAATTTTCTAAATAAAATTAATTTTTTAAATATATTTTTATATAATATTATTATTAATTTAAAATTTATATTTATAACTAGATTTATTAGTTATTTAAAATTGTTAGTATATTAAATAACATAGATTAAATGCTTTATAACCTATTATATAATACTATTATCTAGTTTCATAAAAATATATGTTATAAGATTATATAATAATATTAAATAATAACAATAAAGTAGTAATTAAATAGAATCTAAACTATAAAATTCAATATGTTAAAATCTTAAATATTAATAATGATTTGTTCTATATATATATATTTATATTTAATGTTAATAGTAAAACTATGGCTTTATTTTTATTAAATATTTAACTAAGATTTTTACATAAAATTCAAATCTATTTTTAAAATATTATAGCAAGAATAGAAGTTTAGACTAATTTATTTGCAATTTAAACCAATTTAAGTGACCAAGACTTATCTATATTTGGATGTTAGTAATAATATATGAGAGATTAGTTTAATATTTAATCTATTATATATACCAAGAGTTAATCTTAAAGCTAATAGTATTAAGAGAAGAAGGTTGTAATAATTGTGAAACAGGATTGAAAGTTAAATTGTAAATCTTAAAATACAGTAAAGAATCCAAAGTTTGTAATAAATTTGTTGGTTAAGATAAAGTAAAAATTTAGTAATAAGTGTTATAGATATTTTTGTAGATGATAAGTTTGCAACTATAGTAATAATTTTATTTGGTACTAAGCCTGATAGAATAAAAAAAATTAAAGATAAGTTTGGTATACTGTGAGTAAACATGCAATGTAGTTGTTTAATTTAATAATATAAGTTAGTTAGAATATTTGAAATAGTATTAAGAGTAGTAGTATTAAGAACAGTACCTAGAAACTGCAATGTTCATATTTATACTAACTTATAATCAATTATATTTAAATATAACAAGTTGTTAAAAAGGCAAAGAATATTATACAACAATTTAGTGAAGCTTGTAGTTTAAAAAATTAACTATTAGCTAGCTAATATATATTAATAATATATGTATAATACCAAAACTGTTATATATATTGCAGACAACAAAAGTATCTAAAAAGTGTCTGAATCACTTGCATTAGCTAGTAATTAGATTGATTAAAAACAAGATAGGTCTGTTAGCAACTGCAAAGAACACATAATTATACATCAAAGTTTAAAAAAATATAAAATATTAAGTTAAGAAATATTTAAAAGTCAGTTGGTCTTTATACAAAGAAGACTAAATAAGTCAGATTGGATTAAAAAATATCAAGAATATGACTATATTTTAGCAGTATTAATATTAAAAAATTTAAATATAGCAAATGAAAGTAGTTTAAAGAAGATCTGAAAAAGAAATCTGACATGTTTAGTATTACTAAAAGTGAGTCAATAAGTGTAATAATAAGAACAAAAAGTGCCCTTTAGCAAGTTTTTAGTATAAGTAAACTGAATATAGTTTGGCAAAAAAATAAGACATTTAGAATGATTATAAAATATAAACTGTTTTTGTACAATAGCAAATAGATCAAGAAGACAAAAGAATAATTATATAGAAAAAGTTTAAAGTATTATGAACAAGTTTACAAAAAGAATAAAAAGCAAAATAGTTTATTGAAATTAAACAGAATTAAAAAAAAAAAACTATGCTGATAAATTATTGTAATATGTCTTAAAATGAAGAAAATTACTCAGCACTTGTAGAATATAGTAAATGTAATTTAGATGACAAAAGCAGTACAAGTGGTTATCAACATTGAGTTAAGAAAAATGCAATAGTAGATATACTGCCAAAAATAAGACAAGAGCATAGAAAGAAAATTCCAGTTCTGCTTAAAAACTAAAAGAATACAAGAAGAATTATACAGAAAAAGATAATATAAATAATAAAAAAGTTATAGAAAGAAAAGTAATACTTTATGTATATGAAATTAGTTTAATAAAGATGCAAGAATTTAATAATAGTTTAAAAAATTTATTAATAGGATAGTTAGAAAAACATTATACTAAAAGGTATACAGTACAAGTTTTATATAAATAAGTTATTAGTAAAAGAAAAAAAAAATATAGAATAGGTACAAATTAAGTGCAAACTAGCAAAGATGAAAGTGAAGTTATAATAAAAAAAAATTAGATTAGAGAAATGGTTATTATTAACAAAAGCAGAACTAGCTACAGTACTGATAGCAGTTTTAGTCATAATTTGTAATAATAGAGTAGTAATTAAATTAGATAGTGCTATAGTAGTTATAAGCCTAGAAAGAGAGAAGCCTTTGTGCAATATTAGAGCATGAAGCAAAAACAAGAACTTTAGATTAGTAATAAAGATCAAAGATATATACAAGTCAAAAAACATTAAGTTAGCATTAATTAAGGTTAAAGCACATAGTGAAATAG